CCCCTATAAAGACCCCATATCCCATATCTGCCCTTATAGGGACCCCATACCCCATATCTGCCCTTATAGGGACCCCATATCCCATAGGGACCCCATACCCCATATCAGCCCCCATAGGGACCCCATATCTGTCCCCTATAAAGACCCCATATCCCATATCTGCCCTTATAGGGACCCCATATCCCATATCTGCCCCTATAGGGACCCCAATCCCCCGCTGATAACCCCGACCCCATAACCATCCCCCAATGCCAACCCCAAAACCCCATTCCCACATCCTCACTGACCCCGATCCCACACTTCTGTCCCCCCAGACCCCATATCCCCACCCTATAAGCTTATAGGGCCATCCCCGTATCCCCACCCTCTAAGCTTATAGGGCTGACCCCATACCCCCACCCTATAAGCTTATAGGGCCGACCCCATACCCCCACCCTATAAGCTTATAGGGCCGACCCCATACCCCCACCCTATAACCATATAGGGCCGACCCCATACCGTCGTTGACCTCCACGCTCTCCTTGGCGTACTGACACTCGACCCCATAAAATAATGGGGTGCAGTGACAAATCCCATTGATGTGCACCCCGTTATTATGGCACAGCCCTGGGGAGGGGGAGGGGTGGGAAATAGGGTCGGGATGGCGGCCCTATAACCCCAGAGTTCGGGGTTTTTTTGTTTTATAGGGTCAGGGGATCGGGGAAGGAACCCACCTTGCTTTGGGGTGGTGGTGGGATTTGGGGTGGTTATGGGGTTTGGGGTTTTTGGGGTCGTGGTGGGAAGATCGGTGTCCCCGGAACCGCTGATGTCCCCCGAAAGATTGGGATCCCCCAAAAGATTGGGATCCCCCAAAAGCCCCGCGACCCCAAAATGCGCCGCCGTGACAATGGGGTAAACCTTGGCCAATGGGTTGACCCCAATGGGGTGGGTGTGGTTGACCCCAATCCTAATAGGGTCAGTGGGGTCGACCCCGACCCTTATGGGGTCAGCGTTGGCCAACGGGCCAGCCCTGACCCTAATGGGGTCAGTGGGGTCAACCCCGACCCTTATAGGGTCAACGTTGGCCAACGGGCCAGCCCTGACCCTAATGGGGTCAATGGGGTCAACCCCAACTCTTATGGGGTCAACGTTGGCCAACGGGCTAGCTCTGGCCCTAATAGGGTCAGTGGGGTCAACCCCAACCCTAATGGGGTCAATGGGGTTGACCCCAACCCTTATGGGGTCAACGTTGGCCAACGGGCCAGCCCTGACCCTAATGGGGTCAATGGGGTCAACCCCAACCCCAATGGGGTCAATGGGGTCAACCCCAACCCCAATGGGGTCAGTGGGGTCGACCCCAACCCTTATAGGGTCAACGTTGGCCAATGGACCATCCCTGGCCCTAATAGGGTCAGTGGGGTCAACCCCGACCCTAATGGGGTCAGTGGGGTCAACCCCAACCCTTATAGGGTCAATGGGGTCGACCCCAACCCTTATGGGGTCAACGTTGGCCAACGGGTCAACTTTGACCCCAGTGGGACCAGTGG